TTCCTGCCCCCCGGAGCGGAGAAAGTTAGTCAAATCTGCAGAAACCGCAGCGCAGGGGGGAGGCTGCATCTCCGCTGCCGCTTTGATGTCACCCCTGCATGTCCCGCAGGTGCTGCGCTGTTGCCATAGCCCCCGTGCTCCACCGCCGCTTTGCCATTAACTCGTGCGAGAAGGGGGGATAATGCAAAAATATTTCCTCTCCCCCCCCGCCCCCCATCCTGTCCCCAAGGTGCCTGGAGCCGGCTGGGCCCGGGGAGGCCACGTGCGTGGCACGGGCTGGTGCACACTGCACGGTGCTACAGCCGCCATCCAGCCCCTCGCACGTGGGGCTGGGGGTCCTGGGGGGGCTGCACCGGGGACCCCGCATCTTTGCCACACGTGCATCCCTGCACCCGCCATCCTGGGCACCGGCGAGGCCGCAGGGCGTCCCTGGCTCCGGTGCAGCCGCACCGGGAAGCACGGTGGGAGCCAGGAAGGTTTCTGAGAAACGGCCCCGCGGCGTTGAATCATGCCGGGCCTCCCTGCGGTTTCCCCCTGTTCTCACCTCCCGGGCGCAGTCACGCCAGGCGCCCACACGCAAGCACCCTGCGCCCAGCCTGGGGGGCGGCACAGGCTGCCGTGGGCCGGGTGGCTCTGCCGGGCTCCCGCTGCCCCCGGGAGGGTGTGGGGATCCCGCTGCCCCCAAAAGCCGGGGGGCAAGGTGTGAGCGGGGCGCGGGGCCACCTCTACGCTTTCCTTGGGGGGCTGAGCGACAGCAGAATGGGGACCACCGGTTGCCCCCCGCGCGGAGCCGCGTGCCCAACGCTGGCATCGCCGAGGGGGAGCTTTGCAGCCCTGGGGCTCCTGCCCGCGTGCCCTGCGGGCCAGGCGGGCGCAGGCAGCAAAGCAGGGACGAGGCCGCGGCTGCCACCGGGGCACCACGACGAGGGCAGCAGGTTCACGTCACGCTCGATGCCCCCCTTGCTTCGCCGGGAGGGAAGTGAAGCCCCTGGGGAGCCGCGCGCTCCCGCGCCACCGAGCCATTCCCTCCGGCGGGGTTATATCTGGCGCCACATTTGCATCGCAGCAAGCCGGCGCACCTGGGCGGCGAGCGAAATCCTCGGGGGAGCGAGAGCGCGGGGAGCGGCTGACGATTGTCACACACAGGCTCGCCGGGGAAAGGAAAGTCCCGGCAGACAATTGTTTTTAGAAGAACCTGCTTCCAACCCGAGCAGCTTCGGCCCCTTGAGCAGAGCCTCCACCCCAGCACCCAGCACGGTGGCAGCAAAGGGTGGGATGGGGCTGGTGCTCCTGGGCTCTGCAATGGTGCTCTGCGAGCAGGGAGGGGGCTCCCAGGCCGGAGGCGATGCTCCTCAGCCGTAGGCACGGCCCAGGTGTCCCCCACCGATGGAGGAGCCTCCACGCAGCCCAGGCCACAGCAGCTCCCTCTTTCCCCCCTCGCTTTGCCTGGGACCCCCTTCCCACCGCCAGCGTTGGTGAGCCGGGCTGTGAGCAGGGCTGAGGCCATCGCGGCGCTGCTGTGCCCAGGCACCCACTGTCCCCCTGCTCTGCAGCGAGCGCTGGGGACAATCCTGCTCCCCCCCCTGCTTCCCCGGCAGCAGCCCCATTGCTGCTTCCCTGGGGACTGGGGGACACCGTGGGGCTGGGGGTGTCTGGGGGGTCCTGTCCTCCCTCGGCCCCGTTTCCCAGGGCTGTGGCTCCGGGCCGGGGGCCCCCCCCCTTCGTTGCTCCCCAGGGCTGGGCGCAGCCCCCCCGTTCCTGCCCCCCCGAGCGGAGCAAGGTAGTCAAATCTGCAGAAACCCCAGCG